GGACGGGAGCAATAAGGCACCTACGCCACATACGAATAAAAAACTACGTTTTCATCTAGAAGCAGTCGTACGCGTCTATATGCGAAGTTTTCTTGACGACTGATAAATTTCCAAATGGCGGTTTTGAGCAACGACGCTGTGTGAAGGACAGATACTGTCCTCCGACTAATAGCAGTTCTAATAGTAACTCTGAGCGAGCAACTCAAGAGTTATGTTACAATCTTTTTTACACTTGGTTAATTAATACAGGGTACGGCAGAGAGAACGGACGTTTTTGGGATGGGTAGTACGCTCCGCCTCCGTCTACGAGAGAGGTGGCGAGGGTGCCGTTTGACTCGTGAGATCCTAGCATTATTTTACCAGTTGTCGTTATGGAGCCTTGGACGGTGGGGCTTCGCGTTTTCACCTATGATTGTTTCGTCCGAAATAATGAGTCAGTCATCGTCGTACAGCGTGAGTTTCATCGCCACTTCAACATTCATCGGACTAGAGCTGTTCCCTCTCGAAACACCATCCTTCGTTGGGTTGCATCACTTCGCAGGCGTGGTGAACTGATCAACAGAAGACCAAGAGGAGCGCCGCGAACAGTTCGAACTCCTGAAAATGTTGAACGCGTTCGACAGGTCTTTCTTCGCAGTCCGACTCGATCTGCCCGGAAACATGCTGCTGCACTTCGCCTTAGTGATCGTTCGATAAGGCGAATTTTGCATATGGATCTCCGCTTTCACCCCTACAAATTGGCCATTGTGCAACAGTTACAGCCCGGAGATTATGCACAACGAATGAACTTCGCACGTGAGATGTAAGCACTGATCGATCAAAATGAGAACCTCATTTTGTTTATGAGTGAGTAAGGCTAGAGTATACGCGAACGAGACCCGAACTCTGGACGAATTGAAGGGCGAAATTCGCGTGGAAGTCGCCCAAGTTGAGAGAGCGATGTTGGAGAGAGTCTACGCGAACTTCCAGGAACGCCTCCAGCACTGCATCAACGATTTCGGCCACCACAAGCCTGATGTGATTTTCCACACTTGACTGTCTCAAATGCTATTTCCTTGTGAACATGATTCCATCAATAAATTTGTTTTCGAGTAAAAATTAACTATTTTATGATTTTTTTAAAACCGTCCATAATCTTTGCCGCCCCCTGTATAATAATTGCATTGTATTCCTTTTTGCCAGCTCATCACTTTTGGTTTATATTTACTATTGGATCTCATTTAATCTCAGTCACAACGAAAGATACACTGTAATTCCGGCTCGGACCGTGTACGTTTTTGTAGTAACCAAATAAAGTTTTTTTTTTAAACAGAGTTTGACTACATAATTGAGGTAAATAAATAAATGTGTGCCTTATGGCTTCACTGTCTTTGTAGATGTGGCTTTTGATTTTGTTACGCAGGCAAACTATTTTTGGTATTAGTTTCACAATACCACTATATAATGATTTCAAACCTATTTATCAGATTATATCGCCATCCTTATTGAGAACGACTATCGTAAACTTTAATACCTGTCAGTACCATGTAATTTTGTGACTAATGGCCTTATTCAATCTCTACGAACCTTCATATTTTTTTCGAAATAGAGAATGCACCTGATATAGTCCTAAAGGAAAAAAAGAACTATTAACGCATTTGGATCCATATCTGTCATGCAAAAGACATAAAACTTACAACTTTAGATTTCTCGAAATAAAGTCGATGTGACTTAGGTACCTTATTGCCCCAAGCACTTCGAATGGAACGCGGTTGGAAACTAGGTAACCGGAAATATTGTTTGTGGAGGAGATAAGACTTATGTCTGAAGGCAGTTTTAATATAGTTTCCAGGTATGACCCGAGACATTAGTTCCTGTGGCTGCATTACAATGGTCCAATGATGATCGTTTTCGTTGATATGATGGACGGTTGAAAAGTGTTTACAACGGAAGGAAAAACGTCGAATAAAACTGTCAGTAATGCGTGGCCTAAAGGAATCCGGAATATACTATTTTCTATTAAATATACAAGTATAATATAGGGTGATTTTTTAAGAGGTATAGGATTTGTTTTTCAAAAAAAAAACACAAAAAAATTGAAAAAACGATTAAATCTTTATTTGAGTCGATAGAACGGTCGATATAATTTAATGTTTAAAGATTATTTCAGGTAAATGTAGGCCGCGGATCCGCTTTAGATGGCCCATGCGTAAGGTCCAATTTTGGCACACTCTCTCCAACATATCGGCCGGTATCTCACGCATAAATGCTTCAATATTGGCTTCCAGTGCGTCAATCATTGCTGGTTTATCCCTGTAGACATTAGTCTTAACATCGCCCCACAAGAAATAGTCCAACGGCGTTAAATCACACGATCTAGGCGGCCAATTGACGGGCCCCAAAGTGAGATAAACTGTTCACCGAACTCGCCTCTCAATAGGACCATTATTTCGTGTGCGGTGTGGCATGTAGCACCGTCTTGTTGAAACCACATTTCAGCAAAGTCCAGCTCTTCCATTTTGGGCAAAAAAAAGTTTGTTATCATCGCACGGTAGCGCTCGCCATTCACAGTTACGTTCCAGCCATTTTCGTCTTTGAAGAAGTACGGCCCGATGATGCCACCGGCCCATAATCCACACCAAACAGTGATTTTTTCGGGATGCATTGGTAGCTCTTGCAATGCTTCTGGCTGGTCTTCACTCCAGATGCGGCAATTTTGCTTGTTAACGTACCCATTCAACCAGAAATGAGCTTCGTCGCTGAACACAATTTTTCGATAAAAATGTGGATCTTCCTCAAACTTTGCCAGCGCCCATTCACCAAATTGGAAATGTTGTGGGAGGTCGTGTGGCTTCAATTCTTGCACCAGCTGTATGTTATAAGGTTTTACACCCAAATCCTGTCGCAAAATTTTCCACGTAGTGGAGTAACAGAGGCCCAATTGCTGCGAACGGCGGCGAATCGACATTTCACGGTCATCACTAACACTGGCGGATACAGCCGCAATATTTTCTTCAGTCCTCACTCTACGTCAGCGTGTTGGTGGCTTAATGTCCAATAATGTAAACTGGGTTCGAAATTTAGTCACAAGCTTCCGAATAGCTCCCTCAGTAGGCCGACCAAATTGCCCATAAATTGGAAGCAGTGCTCGATGCACTCTCTTAACCGAGCATGAATTTTGATAGTAAAATTCAATAATTTACAAGCATTGTTCGTTCGTAACTGAACAAGTTTGATAATGACACAAGACACGATTCATGCGTCATCTGTCAAAAACAGTGTTGCCAAAAAGATACTAGCAAGAAAATCACCCATTATAAATAATTTTGGCGATGTTCCATTAATGGTAATATCATAATCAAAAAGTTTGACGAAAAATGAAGCCAGCAGAGGCTTGTGAAAATCCTAAAAAATGCAGAAAACAAACCAACAAAATGTCATCTTGCAAAGTAGTTAGTTTTAGTAGTAGAAGCGTCCATCTATGGGCGGATGGATCAACGACACGACACGTCAAGCATGCATTGTTGGTTGCAGAAAGCCAAGTAGCCTTTGAGAAGATTTAAAAGAAAGTTGGTTGAATAGCAAAATCACATCTGGATGATGTATTGGTCTGCATAAGTATAAAATCAGTTATTGTATATTTCTGCTATGTGAGAAAATTATTACTGAAAACCTATGCTGCAAAAGGAGCTGTGCCCGACGGGTCATTTATATGTTATGCTTTCTGAAGACAGGTTATGCTCAAAGTTATAAATTACGATTTTTCCAGTTTTTTTTTTCTGTTTCCAAAAAACTTTGAGGAGAAGCTACAAAACGAGTTCATAACAAACGTACAATAGCAGGTGCTAGGTTGGGATCTTGTAGAGAAACCTACGTTATGTCACAGAAAACATATAAATGTTACTATTCAAGGTACGTAATACCCTTGCCATTCTCTTTTCCAAAATTAGGTTCCACGAGTTAATATATGTTTATGTATTGTTTATGGTTCGTATATAATGAAAAGTCTTCTACGGAAGAGTCCTATACCGGGCGTTTTAGCACTTATATCCCAAAAACTCAAATTCGCCTATCAAGGTTTCATATCAAGAAACGTTCTATTGCGCGATATTTTTAGCAAATTATTTATTTTTTTTTTACCATATTAATAAATAACACACAAATGATCGCAAAAAAGTTCATTGAAAATCACCTATGCCCTTAAATTGAAAACAGTCTGTTCAGGATTTATTTAGGCGCGTTTTGAACATTTTTTTCATCTAGTCGCCAGATTGGTGAAGCTAGAAGTAATTTTGGATACGATACTACAAATATTGAAGTATAGTTGAGAAACATCGTTCCGAATATTATAATTTCCGTATCCTGCAGCTACTGCAATTAACGACACATGTCTTGCATCTTGGCAGATTATTATTCCTCTGCTAGACCATCCCACTTCTGAATAAGGGATAAAATCATATTGATTGATTGTAAAGCTGGCAATTTCCTCGATATTCATCATAATTTCATTATTCACTTAACAACTGATCCGTTATTTTCCGGTGACGACAACTTCACCACAGCGACACACCATAAAGTAACAACGACGCCAGCAAACGCCAACCCGTTATCTACTCTCCAACAAACTTAATTAAAACGTCAACTTTTAACTGTGTCGGCCACGGCCAGACTTCAGATAAATTCACCCTCCTATATTTTAAATTTAAATTTATAGGTTATGTTTTTACGCTACCCTGTGGCTACGCTCGGTACGCTCCGGTGATTACCAAAGTTTCGTTTAGCAGGTTTTGTTCTTTTATCTCGACCACACGGATGTCTTCTTGGGGAATATTCTGGAGGTCGTTGAGTCCCACAGGGACTGTCCATTTGCTTTGTTCTACTTTATTTTATTTATACTTCTGTCTTATTCGACTGAAAAACTTTTGCGAGCTTTGTGGTAGGTGGAGACCGTGCATAAGAAAACCTTTTAGGCTATTTTGTGCAGACACCACTGATTACAGTTTTCGTAATTAACACGAAACTTGAATTAAATAGTCTCTTTCTTTCCATTCTTCCACAACAATTTGCGAAAAGAATATGTTATATAAGTGCTGACAACTTGCGGTGTAAACTCGTCTACTTGCATCTGCTACTATTATAGGTAGCTCACTTTTAGTGAAAGATGTACACAGACCTCTGCTCGATAAGTAAGTTGATCGTTCCTCAACTAGTACAGTACTGAAACGTCAAACTTGTAGGTTTGAGCACCCTCGCGCTGCAACGAAAACACGTGTACTGCTTCGAGAATCTTCTTCAATTAATGTCTTAAGATCATTTGTATCTGATTCTACTGGACGCCCAGAACTTGATCTATCTATGAAGGAATAGTCACATCTGCGAAATCTTCGCCACCGCTTTCTGAAAATAATACTGTCTGAATAGACTTTTCTCGTAAAATTGATGGACGGTGACTTGCTATCAGGATCACAGAACCGCAAGGAGATATGTGGATAGTCCTGTGCTCTATCTATAATATACGCGTCAAACCTGGATCCTCGGCATCTATGCCCCTGCGATCCTGATGCAGATCTATGAGTTTCCTGAAGTCGCACTGTCGATCAGGTTTTCTACGTAAAATTGGTAGATTGTAGACATGTTATTAGGTTCACAGGAACGCGAGGAGGCTTGCAAATAATTGCTATGAGATAAGCTCGAAAATCAAATTCATGGCATCGATACCTCTTGCCGTTTCTGCTATCCGGATACAGATCTATAGGTTACTGAAAATTGCACTGTCGTCCAGACGTTTCTCGTGAGTTGGTGTACGGTGACTTGCTATCAGGATCACGGAACCGCAAGGCGATATGTGAATAATAGTACTGAGCTCTATCTATGACACGTGAAATTCGGATCCTTGGCGTCTACACTCCTCGTAGTTTCTGCGAACCTGATGCAGATCTATAAGTTTCTTGAATCCGCACTATCGACCAGGCGTTCTTCGTAGAATTAATAGATTGGAGACCTTTTATCAGGTTCACAGAAACGCGAGAAGGTAAGCAAATGGTACTCTGCTCCTGCTATGAGATAAGCACGAAATTCTAACCCACGACATCGATACCTCTGGCCGCCTGCGATCCTGTTACTGTTGACTTGGAAACTGCGTAATGAACTACCCTCTGATCGATTGTAGACTTGTTATTAGGCTCACAGAAATGCAAGGAGGTTTGCAAATAATTCCTCCTGCTATGAGATCATCAGGAAATTCAAATTCATGGCATCGATAGCTCTTGCCGTTTCTGCGGTCCGGATACAGATCTATAGGTTTCTGAAAATTGCACTGTCGACCAGACTTTCCTCGTAAACGTGGGGAGGTATGCAAATGGTACTCTGCTCCTGCTATGAGATGAGCACGAAATTCTAACCCATGACATCGATACCTCTTGCCGCCTGCGATCCTGTTACTGATCACTTGGAAACTGGGGAACTACCCTTTGATAGATTGTAGACTTGTTATTAGGCTCACAGAAACGCGACGAGATTTGCAAATATACTAAGTGACACATAAATCCCAACACCCAGTTTAAATGGTTTTATTTTAATAAAATTTTGTATAAGTACTTAATGAAGCATAATAAGTAAATGATAAAAATTTCAAAATGATTGCACTGCTTTAAAGCCCTTTGACCTTTAATAATGTGTGGATGCACCCTGATGTGCTTCGCATTCTCCAACGCGCCTAGGCATGCTTCTGATCAGGTGGTCAATGTCCTCCTGTGGTATCTCATTCCAGGCAACCACCAACTCCTCTCGAAGTGCTTCTAGAGTTTAAGGAGGACGTTGCAAATTGAGCAATCTCCTACCCATGATATCCCACACGTGCTCAATTGGGCATAAGTCGGGAGATCTTGGTGGCCATGGTAACAATGTGACATCATTATGTTGAAAGAAGTCTATTGTGACTCTTGCAACATGTGGTCGGGCATTATCTTGTTGGAAAGTTGGATCTGCCAGGGTGTCAAGATAGGGTAAAAGATGGGGTTCTAGAACTTCGTGGATATAACGCTGCGCGTTCATGTTACCTCTGATGAAGATTAAAGGTGACCTGGAACCATAAGCTATAGCACCCCAAACCATAACTCCAACAGTATGATGAACATGTCTTTCAACAAAAAACTGTGGATTCCTCCTTTCACCACGTCGCCTTCTAACCCTGGCACGACCATCGTGCATGCCTAAACAAAATCGAGACTCGTCACTAAAGACAATACTGTTCCATTCCTGATCCCAGAATGACCGTTGTCTGCACCACTCAAGGCGATTACGTCGGTGTAAGGGTTAGAAGGCGACGTAGTGAAAGGAGGAATCCACAGTTTTTTGTTGAAAGACATGTTCATCACACTGTCGGCGTTATGGTTTGGGGTGCTATAGCTTATGGTTCCAGGTCACCTTTAATCTTCATCAGAGGTAACATGAACGTGCAGCGTTATATCCACGAAGTTCTAGAACCCCATCTTTTACCCTATCTTGACACCCTGGCAGATCCAACTTTCCAACAAGATAATGCCCGACCACATGTTGCAAGAGTCACAATAGACTTCTTTCAACATAATGATGTCACATTATTACCATGGCCACCAAGATCTCCCGACTTATCCCCAATTGAGCACGTGTGGGATATGATGGGTAGGAGATTGCTCAATTTGCAACGTCCTCCTCAGACTCTAGAAGCACTTCGAGAGGAGTTGGTGGTTACCTGGAATGAGATACCTCAGGAGGACATTGACCACCTGATCAGAAGCATGCCTAGGCGCGTTGGAGAATGCGTAGCACATCAGGGTGCATCCATACATTATTAAAAGTCAAAGGGCTTTAAAGCAGTGCAATCATTTTGAAATTTTTATCATTTACTTATTATGCTTCATTAAGTACTTATACAAAATTTTATTAAAATAAAACCATTTAAACTGGGTGTTCGGATTTATATGCCACTTAGTATAATTGCTCCTGCTAAGAGATAATCACAAAATTCAAATCCATGGCATCCTTACCTCTTGCCGTTTTTGTGATCCTGATAAAGTCCTATAGGTTTCTGAAACTTGCACTGTCGACCAGGCTTTTTTCGAAAAGTTGGTGGACTGACTTGCTATCAGGATCACAGAACCGCGAAGAGGTATGTGGATAGTACTGAGCTGATATTCACGTGAAATTCGGATACTGGGCATCTTCGTTCCTCATAGTTTCTGGGAACCTGATGCAGATATATAAGTTTCTTGAATCCGCACTGTCGACCAGGCTTTCTTCGTAAAATTGGTAGATTAGAGACCTGTTATCAGGTTCACAGGAACGCGAGGAGGTACGGAAATGGTACTCTGCTCCTGATATGAGATAAGCACGAAATTCTAACCCGTGGTATCGATACCTCTTGCCATATCTGCAATCCTATTACTGATGACTTGGAAACTGCGTAATAAACTATCCTTTGGCATATGTTACGCGCAGCTTCTGAATTTTTGCAATGTGCTTTTCACAATGACATTTGAAGTATTTCGGATTGACATGAACGTTCTCAGATCTACTAAGATTTCCTAGGAAATACAAACTAGAGCCCTCTTTACATATTAGCCAACTCGGTGATAACAGCAGCTACTTCGAATCGCCTAGCTCAAACTTTCCAACAAAGCATTTCATAAAATCGAAACTGAACATATGGCAATAAAAATTCACAAAGCTTTTCAACGAAGAGAAAGCTAGCAAATCCGTTCTGCTTACGTATATTTGTAACAAAGCTGCATCGAACAGCTCTTATTCCGCAAAATATGCTGACGCGTGGATATTCTAAAAACAACTGCTTGCACCGCCACGTAGCATTCAAATACTCCGGACCGCAACATGTAATCCGGACAACCTTACCGGAAACAGTAGTGTGCATGGTACAGCGAATGTGTGTGTGGGTGAGCATTATTTGTATAAATTTCCATTTTAAACTAGCTCCGGCTCATACTGGCATCTAGGGAAGAATACCCAGGCGCTACGGGGATGTCGCATTGTGCTCTCGTCACCCCTTTCTGTCCCCTCCCCCTCCCTCCCTCTACTAACAATCTTTGATACAAAGAGGCAGGGTTGCTACTGTGATTTTCAACATGCTGTGAATCCTTGGATTGAAAGGTTCTTACTGAGAGTACTCGATTTTGTACAAGTAGTGGAAGTAGGCCGATTCTGGGTCCATATACTCAATCTGTTAACCAGGGATGTGACAAACACAGGATATCCTTATACTTGCAAATTTTGAAGGAAATCCTCCAATTTGAAGTAAATGCTCTTGCTTTTTGAGTATAAGCATATCTTTCAAATAAGTGACATAAGCAAAAGGATATTCATAATCTTCACCTTATACTTGGTATAGGAAGCATATCCTTCAAAAATTCTGAGTGTGGTCAGTAGCAGACTCAACTTCGTAACGAAAGGTGGTCAAACGATGATGGCGGAAATTGTGGATGTTAGGGATGTTAAAACGTACAAACCTCGTTTACCTTCACTTGGCCGTGACTTCAAAAAATTATATCGGTTCGACGAAGCAAATGTACAATGGCTTGCGGACATATTTTTAGTTGAGAATGAGGAAACTCAAGGAGGAGCACTTTCATGTATATCAGCAAGGTATTGGTCAGGAACTTGGTGTCAGCAAGCAACGGTATCTCGGACTGTGGATAGAGTTGTGAACAGCATAGTTGCACAGTCGAACGAATGGATCAAGTTTCCGACTACCAACCATGAACTGATGGAGGCCAAGCGGATATCGCGAAGCATGTATAAATTTCCGACAGCAATTGGTGTAATTGATTGTACACATATAGGAATCCTGAAACCAAATCGACATGGATATGAGTATATCAACCGAAAAGAGAAACGTAGTTTAAATGTGCAATGCACTTGTGATGTCAGAGAGATGTTCACAAGTGTTGATGTCAGTTGGCCTGGATCAGTGCATGATTCCAGAATATGGAGAAATTCACAGACTAGATCACAACTAATAAATAAAGCAAATGTTGCACTACTCGGCGATGACGGTTATGGTATTGGGCCATGCCTTATGACTCCCTTCAGAAATCCTACTCCAGGTGCAGAAATAAATTATAGTAAGCTTTTAAAACAAGAAAGAGTTACAATTGAACGCTGTTTCGGCCAACTTCCTCTCCGCCAACTAGAGGAAACTTGAGTATTATAATGAATAGTTTTACTGATTAAGGTGTATTTATAAGTTTTGTTTTCGTGAACATCATAAGTTACAGGCGGCTTCTGACGCTGCATCATTTCTAATTTCGTTTTATAGTACTCTTGTTGTAAAATACGGGTATTTGGTATAGCTTTCAGCAACTTTCTTTCCCAATCTAACAATATAATTGCATTATAACCAGCTTTTTCTTTAGATCTGTTTTTTTCTTCACTCTTGATTTCATGTTGTTGATTTTTTTTAATAAGCCTTTAGTATCTAATGGTTTACCGAATGTTGATTCGTATTTTTTCTTTATTTTCTTCAAGGCATCGTCCTTTCTCATTTTTATTTTTGGAACTGGTGACTTTTGCAAAATAATGGGAGCAATGGCAATGCCATCTGCGATGAACTGCAGGTCGTTGCCATTATGTTCTATAGTTTCCTCATCACTTGAGGATGACATGCTTATTAATTTGATAAAAAACTGTATCCAGTAAAAATACGGAACGGTCTGTGTAAGCTCTGGGTACAACTGTCGGTGATGCTGAGTGAATGAACTCCCACATCAACTAAAAGCTGGAACAAGTCACGACATGTCGCTCAAGATTCAAATACCAGTCAGCCTTTTACTTCTTCTTGTAGGATATCCTCGCGACTACCTTTTTCTCCGAAGCAAGACCTTATACTTTTACCTTATGCTTCCGAGGATACGCTTCTCTTTTATGAATACGGCTCATTGACTTGAAAATATCGATTACTTGGATAATCGACTCTCGAAGAAACAAATAATCGTTTATTGCTGAAAATTCGATTACTATTATTCGAAAAATTGCTTGCCTATTCATACAGGGTGGGCTACTAGTGCTTGGCAACGATGGGAGGATTTGGCAGTCAGTCGACCCTAGACACGCGTCGGGGCAGGGTCGCGATTCATGTATTCTTTTAAGTTTCGCTTAGAATTGCTGTTTTTTGTGAAATTCCAATAAATCGTGTACTCTCTCGAATCTACCGTTATGTACTCATCGAGAACCCACCCTCTGTCGATTGGTATAATCGGCAGCCCTGTGCATCTTTGAAGCCCACGCGGGGACCATTGCAAGATAAAAGCAGTTGTCTCATTTACTGGAGAAGCCGTCTTTCCGTTTCCAGTAGATGTACAGGGGTTGCAGTACTGGTTCAATCAGTAGCAGATTCGCGATCCTGTAATTGTACAGCTTGTATTTTGATATTTCGAGGCGATTAACCAGATAATTGTAATTTTGTATGGATAATAAATAAAAACACTGTCAGGACGGGAGCGAAGCAGATGACATCAAAGAAAAGTAATTACTCAGACCACAAAAAATAATGGAGAAAACAAAAAAATAAGGGAGTAAACAAAGAGAAGGAAATAAATGTTGGTTATGCTCAAAAAGCATCTATGCAGATATCTCAGAATAATTATCTATAAAAAATATCCTACAGCCTCCTCAGGTGTCGCAGACTGTACGCAGTATGCAAAACGTAACTAAGGTGATAATTCCATAACATACTGTAGTTGATGAATGACTGTGTCAATGTCTATGGTCCACGTACTCCATCTATTGTCTACCGGCTTTAAAAACAGACCCATCGAAACGTGACTCCCGATATCATCCAGTATTTATTAGAATATCGATTTATGCAGTCTGGCATCAGTTGCGACAGCAACACTGAAGCCCTGCAATTAGTCTATTTAATTGCCTTTTGCCTTGGTCCATTGACGCTCATTCTAGATTGATCGTTGACCACTACAGGCCAAAAGAGCCTATTGTTGTTAAATGTGCTGCACTTGCCTAAAATGGCAATTATGCTTTTAGAAATCATTCATATATACGTCATAGTACATCATGTTTTTATGCTCAAAGGCTTAGCAGACGGCTTATTTTTTCAAGCTCAAGTTCAGCCGATAATTAATATTATGGACCAATAGGAAAATACACTATCGAAATGCAATTTGACGGAAGCTGTCAAAGGTCTCAGAATATCAGTGATTTCTATTAAGATGTTGAATAAAATCGTGAAAATTCGACTGTATTATAAACAAGACCACTTTTTGATTCCAACATGATGCTTTTGTACAGAGAAAACAGGACAACTTTCATGTATTTTGATTTATGTTATAGGTGTACATTTGACCATCCGTTATCCCCTCAGCGAATGGTGATGGGAGAAATAATAGGTCGATTTTCTAGCTGTTAAATTTGGCAGCAGGTTTGGTCGTTTGTTAATTCATGGCAATCTCGAAATTTGTTAAGTTCAATATACTGTGTGTATATGTGATCATTATAGCTACACATACCTGTTGAATTGTGCGGATTTGCAAGAAAATAGAATATAAAATGTATTCCAACCAATTCCTCATCTCTCTTTACATCATAATAGTAATCATTTGTTATAAATTCATGGGTTAATGAATTTCTTCAAAGCAATCAAAACAGTATGGTCGTCCCCATCCTAAAACACCGATATGTGTAAAACATGTTAATCCCTACATCTCCGAGGTGCATAATGCAATTACTGTAGACATAGACCTAAAATTATTAGTGATTACTGAAAAATAAGAGCTAAAAAGAATTATAAATAGTGATAAAATATTGGTGGTTGAGGTTTTTGACTGGTGACTGGTGGAGATACAATATAGGGATGGCGACGATAGACGATACATAGAAGTATCGAAAACATCGATACATCGGACGAAGAACATCGGTCTTCACGCATAGATGGTTTCATGACGATATATCGATATCGAGAGGAATCGTAAACATCCGTAACCGTATACCCCGAGTCTATCCTTAACTGTGCTACCATCTCTAAGCGAGGACTGGTAGCTTCGAAATTGAAAGGCCAGAAAGCTATTTAGGTGTTTAGTAGTATTTGAATATTATCATTACAGACGAGCACTGAGCCACTGAGTGGCGACTGAGCACTGTAGTCTTTTCTTCATTCTGTACTTCCTCAAGGGATAGAATAAAATAAACTGAAAACAGCGCGTTTAATGATTTTCAGTTCTCAGAGAAAGATTTTCCCCTGCCGGCCCTTGACATCGTTTCGAAATATGAAATTCTGGAAACGCTATAAAAATAAAAATGAATACACAAAGCCTACTTACCTATTTCAGACAAAAACAACTGCCACATAACGATTGTCACCTTGACATCGTTCTGCAAAGTAGTGATGGGCGTGCCTGCTGCACGGTATACGGTATCGATATTCGATAAAATATTTTTCTTTCTACCATGAATGCGTGGAAAAAACAAAATAAGGAGAGATCTAAAATAAGGAGTTATTGAAGGCCTAAAATACCCAGGCGCTAATGATTCCTGGCCGTATTTGAATATCTAAGCAGGCACAGTAAAACAAAAATAAGACCTGAAATTGATAAAGTTTATTTGGACAGTTGGCAGAGTTTGCTCCACTGGGACGAAGTGTTGACGGATCCCATAAAATTATGTGTCACTTGTCGATATAGTTAGTTTTAAAATATCAGGAGATCATCAGCTCTTATTCAAATCAGTGTATATGTTTTGTGATTCAAATAACGTCTAATATAAATATAACCCAGAATATGTACTCAGTGAAAAAAGATAAAATATTGCAAATTTCTAGTTTTTCTGCAGGTTTTAGATTTGCTGGTAGCTCTGCGACATATATTTGGGTATTTCTTAATCGCTGTGAATATAGTGTGGATGTTTGTTAACTTCCTGAACAACGAAAAATATTCAACTTTATGGATGTATGGATCTTAAAAAACCATAATGGTTTTGTGGGAATATCAATCTAAGGTGCCATAATGGTTCTAATGAACGGCAAGTAAATGAATGAATGTTTGGAAACGAGCAATATCTATGAACTTTTTGGTAGAGCCAGTCATCAAGTAGGTGCTTAATTTCAATTCAAAAATTCAAATTCAAAATACATTTATTTGCCAAAAAACAAAAACAAAAAAAACATTATAGAAAATACACACAATATTTTTGGCAAAAAGGACAAATCCTCGATCAAATGACCGTTAACTCCCAGCCTTACATAAGTAGGGTGGGTGTGAAAATGCCCTGTGTTACACTAATTTTACACATATAATATACAAACAATATACTGGGATTTAATGGCTATCTGCAAGAGATTTATAGGAAAAAACACCCAGTAGATGATCTTGAATCAGTAAACTCGCATATCAATTGAAGAAAATAATATAACCATGAATAAAAAATCAACAATAGTAATTATACTAAGTGACATATAAATCCGAACACCCAGTTTAAATGGTTTTATTTTAATAAAATTTTGTATAAGTACTTAATGAAGCATAATAAGTAAATGATAAAAATTTAAAAATGATTGCACTGCTTTAAAGCCCTTTGACCTTTAATAATGTGTGGATGCACCCTGATGTGCTACGCATTCTCCAACGCGCCTAGGCATGCTTCTGATCAGGTGGTCAATGTCCTCCTGTGGTATCTCATTCCAGGCAACCACCAACTCCTCTCGAAGTGCTTCTAGAGTCTGAGGAGGACGTTGCAAATTGAGCAATCTCCTACCCATCATATCCCACACATGCTCAATTGGGGATAAGTCGGGAGATCTTGGTGGCCATCGTAACAGTGTGACATCATTATGTTGAAAGAAGTCTATTGTGACTCTTGCAACATGTGGTCGGGCATTATCTTGTTGGAAAGTTGGATTTGCCAGGGTGTCAAGATAGGGTAAAAGATGGGGTTCTAGAACTTCGTGGATATAACGCTGCGCGTTCATGTTACCTCTGATGAAGATTAAAGGTGACCTGGAACCATAAGCTATAGCACCCCAAACCATAACTCTAACAGTGTGATGAACATGTCTTTCAACAAGAAACTGTGGATTCCTTCTTTCACCACGTCGCCTTCTAACCCTGGCACGACCATC